TGGTTGGTTGTTCCCATGTTGCCTGTCAAAGACCTGAGCACACACCACCGGTCTGTCACTCATAGCATGCCTTTGCTTTTGACTCTTCCATGAAAAGCACTGGCACAAATATGGATACTCAGCCACATTCATAATTTTTCTTTGCTAATTCAAGTAAATCTGGGAATGGAAAGAGCAGAGCCTCAGTTAGTGCTTAGGGTGACCTTGGACACTGTGACTATCAGGTTAGGAATTCTTGCTAAGCCCTGCCCAACTTTATATTTTCTTGCTAAGCCCTGCCCAACTTTATATTTGACCCCAGAATATCTGTTCTCATTTCTCCTACATCCTCACAAACTGAAGAAATAGGAGCAATTCCTCTGTCATGTCGATTATTTACTTTTAATAAACGACTTAACATTTTCATGCAGGTAGAATTTTAAAAACCTATGACCAGACCGCTTCTTGTTTTCAAGGTAATAAAAATAACCAGAAGTTTGAAAAGTTAACAAATAAATTAGAATAATTTGGCTCAGGTCAAGGTATAATTTTCTTCATGAAAAAACAAATATTCATCTAATAGTTTTCCAGTGAGATACAAAAAATCGAGACCTCTTTAAGTAAATAAAATACCAAGCTTGTCTATTGAAACAGTGAAATATTATTATCCCAGTGAAAACATAATGTTTCATTTTCAGCCTATATCTGAATATTAACTCTTATTTCTTTGATGTTTTTCAGATTTATCCCCCTCAAAGTGCTTAATTTTTTCAAATATACAAGTTATATCTATTTGTTGCAAAATTTTTTTTAATCAGAAAGCTATTGAGAAAAAATTAAAAATTTCCTGTAATCCTGTCACCTTTGTTTAGCTATTCTTAATGTTTTGGAATAAATTTTGCTTGTATATATAACATCATCATATTTAGGCTACTTTTTGTAGTCTGATTTTTCAGTTGACAGACTTCATGGGTACTTTTTCCTTATCAAAAAGCTTAAATCCATATTGCCATTTTGGTTTTTCCTTATGTCTACCTATTCTTATATATATTAGATATTTTTTCTATGATAATATCTTAGAAAACACATCTGTTCTTACATCTTTGCATACCTATCTGATTGTTTCCTTAGGGTGAAGACGGCTGTGGGATCACTGGATCAAAGAGGCATATATTTCTTTTTCCACAGGCTTTTGATATAATTACAAAATTTCTTTTTAGAAAGATCATACCCAATTTATACTCCCTTTCTTCCAACCCCATTCCATTCTTGAATCTGATAGGTAAAAAACCAAAAATCATTATTTTGGCTTTTATTTCTTTGAGTACTTCTGAGATTGAACATCTTTTTCTAATGTTCAACATGAGTTGCCTATTCATGTACTTCACCCATTTTTCTATTGGAATGTTGTCTTGCTTATTTATAAATGCTCTTCATAGTGTTTGTAAAAGACATTTACTGTCTATTGCATTTGATAAATTGTTTTCTTCTCTGTGCGATTTTTGTAAGAAATTCTAGAGACTAACATGTTTTAAGGCTCTAGACTTCTTGACATAGACCTTTCCGTTTGTCTATTGCCATACCCTGTTGGAGAGATGAGTGAATATTTTCATGTAAGCCTTGTCTAAGTAGTAGATGTACCACTCATAAAGTTGTAAAAATGTCAGACATACTATGTTTCTTTTTTGTGTCTTAAAATTTTTCAAGAGAAAATACTCCGACTCTTTCTCTGAGACTGAAACAGCATTGCAACAGAAGTTCAGCGGCAAATCCATACGAGGGGAAAACAAAATCCTGTGCTGACATATTTTTCTGACTGTTGCTGCTATCTTTGGTCTTTGGAGGAACTTGCCATTTTTAACACAGCTTACTGTTTTTACTGTGATGTGTGTGATCACACTCCCATGCCCTCCACATGAGAAATGGGTTGTCTAACCCTGGGCTGTATTTCCATTTCTTTTCAGAGTGTCCACGTATTGGAGAGGACTGCTTCCTCTAGCACTGAGCCCTCTGTAAGTCGGCAATTGCTGGAACCGGAGCCGGTCCCCCTCTCCAAGGTCAGTGACGGAATGTGGTGCTTTCTCTGATGGCATACCGCCTGCTCCGGGGCCATGAACTGTGAATGATTTACACACCTGACTCCCCTAAGGTAGCTGTGACACCCATTATAGGACATCTCCACTTCTTTCTGCCTCCAGTATGTAGAGTTTCTCTGCCGTGTGTAAGGGGAGGATAGATGAACATCTATTTTGCTGGCATTTGCAGGGTTACATACAAAGGTCCAAAATTCTCTGTTTTAAGGAAAGAAGGAAAGAGAAACTATTGCCATTCCCTGTTGGAGAAATAAGCAATTATTTCTATGCCAAGCTAATGGAAAAGAAAAAAAAATCACTGGGTCCAGCAATAATAATAATATCACTACCATTATTGCCCATGTACTGCATACCAGGCGCTATGCTAAGTGCTTCGATACATTATCCCATTGAATATAATCCTTATAAACAGCTCTACACGATGTAGGCATTTATCACATTTTATAAATATGGAAACTGAGAGTTAATATCTTGGCCAAAGTAAAAAAAAAAAAAAAAACAAAGCTGTGAAGTAGCAGAGCAGGAATTCAAACTTAGACTTGTCCAACTCTACAACCGATGCTTTTCAGCTGTACATGAGCTGCAAGGTGAAATAGTGCCTACACAGAGGGGCTGTTGTTCATTCCCTGTTGTTTATTCCAGGTACTGGACTCCTCCTCATGTCTGGCTTCTTCGCAGTGAGCTCTTGGAAGAACACTGCAGAGTATTCATTAAGACCTGATCTTTGTCATGGGAGCCAGTGTTCTCTCCCCTTCTTCCCTCAGACTAGGGAAATATTGAATTCATATATGTCTAAAATGCAAAAAATATAGAGAAGAGTCGAGGAGACACCATCCTACTCCTACCCACCCCACCCTGAGATTTTCAATGGGCTGGCTCCCTTATTGAGAAACTCTGAAAATAGAATGCATGTGGATTTTGAATTCCAACATAAAAATAGCACTTTATTTCCAAAGACGGTTAACTCGTAAATATGTAAAACCAGTCTTTCTACTTTGCTTTTCTATTTTAAACATAATCTTTTAAGAAAAGAATACTTTACTACCCTAGTGGTGTGGAATATAAACACTTGTACCTATTTATACTTTAAAGATATCATAAGCTATAAGGATTATTCTATCAGACAGGAGTAGACTGCTAAACTAAGGAGAATGAGGAGTTATTAAACTATCAAAAATTAATTTAGAGAGAAATAAAATGTAGTCTGACTTCCATTTGAATAGCAAATAGAGAATGTATTCTTGGCGAATATAACTTGTAATCTTTTTGAAATATCAGTGCTCTCTTACAGTTAGCTAAAGGAAAGAATAAATATAGGGGCAACAGAAAGGGCAGCTAACATTTATTAAGCATCTACTTTGTGCCAGGCACTAGATTATAACATGTATTCTCCCACTTAATCAGCCCCCAACTTCTGGAAGTGGTTACTGATGTTATTCTTGTTTTACTGATAATTATGACATAATTTTCCAGGCACAAAGGACCCAGCTTGGTAAAACAGCAGTTCCCCCTGGAAGGAGGTGGCTGGTAGCCCAGCTCACTGTGGCTGGGACCTGAGTCCTCTGGCTTTATAAGGGGATGTGGATGGGGCACCAATAGCATCCACTTCCATTGCTTCTCCTTGGTGTTGCCCATCTGGATCTTGCTGTAGGACTAATCAACGTTTGTTGTGTTTTTTTATTAGTAGCTACTACGGCCCTTGGGACCCCATGAAATTAGAGGGCCACATCCACTCCAGATACCATAGCATCTCACCATCTCTCAGGCCCTTTGTAAGAAGATGGGCCTCCTGGGCACTGATTGGAGTAGAAAAACTTTATTTGAAATACACATCGTCCTGACCAGGATTTGTTCAAATTCTGTGTTCAATGCTTTCACCTCCTAAAG